GTATCACTACGCAAGTAGATTGCCCCATCTTCCTTCCGAGGAGTGGCTGGTGGGTTTGAACCGCCAGCCCTCTGGTTAGCAGTCAAGTGTCTTAGCCACTATGCTACCAGAGCTCCCAGTGGGGTAGCCATAGTCTGTGAAAATAGGCAAGAGGGAGAAGGGAAATGAGAGAGACACTCCTCCTGACCCCAGGGCTCATGTGTAATTGGACTCTGCCATGCCAACCAGCCATCATGCCACCTCCCACCTTCGACTTGGGTTCATTCAGTCACAATTCTTCATGTTTGGGACTGTCCAGTCCTTTTACTCTCCTGAGCAGCAGGCCTCAGGGTTCTAATTACACCCAGCTTCCAGAAACTTCTCCTGGAGCCCAGGGAGCCTTCAGTCCTCTCTCATTGGCTCTTTGTTCTGGTTACACACCTGATAACTCTTGCTGCCTCCTCAGAATTGTCTCAGCCTCATTCAGCTTTCATTCCAACCTAGCCTGCAGGATTTAAGGGCTGCAAGTGTTGCCAGGCTAAGTGGGAGCCTGGCTATTTTTCTTTGCACTTAGTACCGAAGAAGGTGGCCAGCAGGGTAGCAGGAAGGTCTAGATCAATCAAAAAGAAGAACTTCCTGTCGGGATAATTATGATCTTACCTCTGTTTCTACTAACAGTCCGATAGTGCTTCTGCATTTTGTCAGTGATTGATCTGCCAGACCCTGGTTGCCTCTTCTGGGCCAGCTACTTTGCTTGACATTTCCTAGCAAGGGAATGGACTGGAAAGAGGATGGTACTGTGGACACTGCCTCAAGGTGCTGACGGCCTAGTAAAACTGACAAGACTTGTACAGAGGAAGATAGATTCAGCCAACCTGAGGGGCCCTGGTGCCCCGCAGTCATTTTTAAGCATGTTCCTTTGTCAAGTACCCAGTTCCAGCCACCACATTTCCCTGGGCCACATTCCAAACTTCCTTCAGCTCCCTACCATGTCTCTGCCCCACCCCTCTCCCTGCAAAGAACAACCTCTCCTCCTACTTCCCTGAGAAAACAGAGGCTGTCAAGCATGAATTACCTCAGTGCCCTGCCCCACCCCCCAAAATTGGCCTGCCTCTCCAACTTCCTTCCCCTTCAGCCCTCCCTTCTCAAGGGACAAGTTGCCCCTCTCATTAAAGGCTAATCGCTTTGCCTGGGCCTTGGCCTCATCCACCCTCCTTCTCTGAGTCCTTCCTCCAGACGTAAGGCCTCTTCTCTTTGGGAAAGTTCAGCTTATCTATACCAGCTCTTTCAGCTTATACAGTGCCAGCTTCTGTTCTCCAATAAAACAAGCACACTCCCTCCCCAGGTTAGTCCTCTTGGGACCTAAGGCACTTGACTGCTAACCAGAATGCTGGCGGTTCAAACCCACTAGCCACTCCTCGGAAGGAAGATTGGGCAATCTACTTCCGTAGTGATACTGCCTTGGAAACCCAAA